ACATCACATCCTAGATGAAGTTACATCTCAAGAAGAAGAAGGGATGAAGTTGCATCTCAGGAAAGAGGAAGCTGCGTCCTAGAAAATCACATCCTAGATGAAGTTACATCTTAGGAAGAAGAAGAGATGAAGTGGCATCTCAAGAAGAAAGAGAGATGAAGACCACATCTCGCAAAGATCTTAGAAGTCACATCTAAATGAAGATCACATTTTTAGAGAAATAGAAATGAAGATCACATCTCAAGGAAGACAATGAAGCTTGCACTTATAATTTGTTTTCAAAGCTTAAAATTGGGTTATTCTTTTATTCTTTACTTTTCTTTTTGTAAAGAAGGGGCAACTGTCATAACCCAATTTTAATGAGGGCTAAATAATAAAATCGGAAGGCAATGGACTATTCGTATAAAGGTTGGAAACTTGAAGGGCTGAGAGGAGAAAATGGCAAAACCACGTCGTTTTGACCAATGGGCTAAAAAATGAAAAAAGAGAAGCTGGATTCAGACGAACCCTAGCCCTCATTTTTCATGATTCTTGCTTCCTCTTGCTTTACCGCCAACCACTCTCCCAAAATTCCCAAATTCTTTTGATTTATCTACAAATCCACTCGAAGTTTACATAGATCACAACAACACAAGAAGAGATTTTTGGATCTGAAGCCCTTATTAAGAGTCGTGGAAGAAGTTTTTGAAGTCGATTCAAATTGGGAGTCTTGATATTTTAAAGGTATGAATTTAGCCTTAAAAGAGGGAAGATGTGTAAAGAACTAGATTAGTTTTAGAATGCCAAATTCTAATAGGGCTAGATCATTATTTGTAATTTTAGTGATTGGGATAAGAATTTAGAATTAGAAAAGGGTTTGAGTTCTCCCTATTTCTGTATAAAAGGGGAAGCTTCAGCTTTGAAAGAGGATTCAAAAATTAAGGGAGAGGGGAAGAAATTTGGGAGCCGGCAAATAGTGTGAAGCAAAGGAAGGAAGAAATCTTGTATTTTGAAGTTTGCAACAAATAAATAAATTGGTTTTGTCCCTTTTAGGTGTGCTTGCTTGAGAATATAGAAGAATTTGGATCTTGAATCTTAGTTTTCTACATATGTTTCCTTTTTCTTGGTTTCTTTTGTTTCTTGGTTGCTATATTAATCTGGAGAAAATGTTTATTGGGTGTTTTCTTGTTGCATACATATTTTCTCCCTTTATTTGTTTGTCCCCAGTCCTGTTCGTCACTTGGTTTCATGTTTGTTTCCTTGTTTAATCAGAGTAATTTAACAAAATCAATTACCGTCATTTTAAGTTTAGGATATCATTTAGAAGCTGCTAGGATATGGGTACTGTGATTTAGTTTGTGTTCCGATAATCTGAGATAATGAATAGATTTTGTTTTCTATCATAAAGTTTTTTTGTTTTTTTTTTGAGATTTGTTATTCTTTTGAAATGCATTAGATAAAAAAAGAAGAAGAAAGAAACAAAAGAAACAGAAACAGAAAAAGACAATGATGGGGTTTTTGAAGTTTTTATTTTATTTTATGTTCTTTGGTAATTATTATTATTATTTTGATATAAAATTGAAAAGTCCCCAAAATTAAAGTATATGGTAACCATATTATTTGGAAGTCGTGGGGTACCTAACACCTTCCCCATACTTAATCGACCCTTTGAACCTAGTCAATTTTTACGAAGACCTTGATGATCTATCCCACCTCATTTGGATAGATGGTGACTCCATCCATTTTGGCACATCAACATGTGCAATTGGAAGTGCACTTAGTATGCAATTCTACATTTCTTTTGAGTATTTTGCTTTTATTTCGATGATTGTCAAGCCAATATTATCAGATATTCAGTCTTTTCATCGATCATCATAAATGTGTTCTCAGCTAAACATAGCTTATGCTGATAGTTACCATGATTTCTTGGTTTTGTAGGCCTCTATATGGTTGTTGTGGAAAGACAAACATAGAACAGGGAACGAATGATGGCTGAAAGTTTGAAGGCCATGGAATCTAAAGGTAGCGGTGAAGAACTTTGAATCTTGACGTGCTTAAATGTTTTATAAATCACTAATAACAACTTGTTGAAGACCTCTAGATTTTACATAAGGATTTAGGATCACCTTTTTGTGGAGAAGGTTTCTCATGTATGCATTCTGTAAATGATCCATAAGATGGTTTTCATCTATTGAACTTAATTGGTTGGGACATCATTAAACCAGAATTTTAAAAAGTTAGAAGAACAACATGTAACACTATCATCTATGGGGTTTAGTTGTAGAGTAACTTGTGCTTTTAGTCATAGGTTTAGGGTTTAATCCTTAGTCACTATATATATATATATATATAAAGAACATGTAAATTATAAGAATATATATTCATACAAGTTCCATGATCCGAGCTTTGATGAAGTGAACCAACTCAACAACATTGTTATGAATATCCTTAGCGGTTTTGCCTTCTCTCACCCATTTACTAGCTAGCTTCACTATATATAATAAGCCTTGGTTTAAGGCATGTTAATGCAAAGCACCAGAGTTGGAACATAAAGTCATATAAAAATATAAAAAAAAAATGGAGTGGGAGTGATGATTAAATGTAGTATATTTTATTTTTTAATATTAAAATATAAGCATTTATATAGCATTTATGTTTTAAAATATGAATAATTAATTTTTAATCATTAACCTTAAACTAATTATAAAAATAAAGTCATATAAAAATATAAAAAAATTTAGAGTGGGAGTGGTGATTAAATGTAATATATTTTATTTTTTAATATTAAAACATAAGCATTTATATAGCATTTATATTTTAAAATATGAATAATTAATTTTTAATTATTAACCTTAAATTAATTATAAAAATAAAGTTATATAGAAATATAAAAAAAATGGAATGGAAGTGATGATTAAAGTAAAAATGTCCATTTTAATCATTTTAGCATTAAAAGATCTCTTATAAAAAATTTTACCAAGCAACTTTTGACTTTATAAGTACTTCCATAAAAAATTTTACCAAACACTTTCGGATTTTCAAAAACAACACTTTTATAACAAATTCTTTTTAATAGGATTTTTATCAAAAGCTACAGCCATACCAAATAGGCTTTTAATCGATGTCCTTCAAAATTTCATTTCCCTTCTCTTCTTCAACTCCGATTTCTTTTGTCAATGCCTACTTAATGGTTTTGACATGCACGGAGGCCTAAGGCTAAGTACAGAAGCAAAGTTCCAGATCAGGACTCATGGCTTCCTTTTCATTAAGCTTTAGTATGATCGGGCTTGGTTGTTGACCGGCAAGCTAAGGTCCTTATTGAGCGAAGGATCGTAGCAAAACCTAGCAAATCATAGGTTGCAGCAAAGCTCAGGTCCCAATCTTTGTGATTGCTTGATATGTTTGATTTTCTTATGAAGCCTAGGGATCGATCTTATCAATTTTGTTTTATCACCTCAAGGGAGGAAATTATCTCAAGTGGATTAGATTCTGGAACTTTGACAATGAAGGTTCTAACTTTTTAAAATTTGATTGCATGTATTGTAATTGCAACACACCACTAAACTCCCTTTAGTCCGACTTTCCTCTACGAGCTAACCTCCAAAGCCTTAAGGTAGGTGTTTGAGGTAATAATCAGATCCCCTAAGAAAGGGACAAAGGCAAAGCTTGAGATCAGTTTTAATTACCTTAGAAGGATACCCTTTGTGTATTTATAAGGTTAAACCCCCATTTTGGTTCCTCAATTATTGTATGAACCCTTAACTTAGTCTCTCAACTCAAAAAATCGTTGATTTGGTCCCTCTTGTTTACCATTTTTACCTCAATTTAGTCCCTCCGTTAAAAATTCAATGACATGTCCCATTAATTAACTGAAGCATGGTGACGTGTTAAAATAACGTGACACATCAGATGTACGCATGAAAAAAAAAAATGACAACA